ACTCCTCTGGTGTGCTGCTGCCTAGAAGGGGTCAGAGGTGACTGTTTTGGATTAAGGAGAATGTGTACAACAAATGCTTTCCTGTGCTTAAAGTGAATTCAATTTTATTTCTCTCCAGCCTTTCCCAGGTTTTGTTCTTTTTGTCTTTATTTTGCAATGTAACCAGTTCCTATTTAAATGTTTGTTAGACCTGGCTAGCAAAGAAAAAGAGAGACTAGAAGAGAAACAAAGAGCCGCTCGTAAAGAACGTGCAAAAGATGAAGTGGAATGGAGGACAAGGTAACTATTAAAGGAGGGGAAGAAAGTTGGGCATGTAGTTAAGGTTAGCGAATGGTTTGGTTTTTACTGTTTGATTCCTCTTTGCACTACAGAACAATTTATAGTGTCACTTAAAGCCCTTGTGGGGAAAGAACATTTGAAAAATGCAACATGAAGTCAAAATTGTAGATTATTTCATCCCAAAGTACCCATACTGCTGTAAATAAGTTGAGGCTGAAACTTGTCACAAGAACACCACGGGAGTACCAAAGTCTTTTGCCTACTGGGGTTGGCCTTTTTACTACAGGATGAATAAAACCTTGGGAGTATCCCAAAGGAGTTGTTTTAAGAGAGGGAGATTCTTGTGGAAGGTGGCGTTCAGTGGATATTTCCCTGTGTAGTACTGCCAGCACCAAAAAAACCCAGCCATCCCAAGGATAGACGGGGCCAACCAAATGGTGTCCAACACATATCACCCAATGGTGGAGATTGTTACTGGGAAACAAATTGCTGTAAAGAACATGTAACCCAAATGGTCATCTCCTAAAATAAACATACGCCAAAAAATACTAATACAATACTTTAAAATTCTAAAGCAGTTTTCATCCCTAGGTAACTTTACAAAGGTGGGGTAAGTAGGGCTCAGAGAGGTGAAGTAACTTGCTGAAGGTCACACGGTGACTCTGTGGCATCCTTGGGAACAGAAATGAAACTGATAATGAAGGTTAAGAATACATCTGTGTAAGGAAGAAAAGGAACATTTGGATTATGGTTATTCCCATTTAGGCATGTTTCAGTGTAGTAACAGGCATAACACTGAAAGATTTGGGTGGTATTTACTTTTCCTACTGTTAACCCACAATCAAGTCTTAGAGTAGCAGCTCTACTTTTTTGTGTAATCAAGTCTTAGTTGTGGAAAGGTATTACTTTTTAGATTGGAAAATGATTTACCTAACTATTGGATAGTGCAGCACCATTTTGTTCTTGTTCAGTAATAAAACACACAAAAAATAGAAGCATCTTGAAATACAGTGCATCTGTTGTTATATTGGTCTGATTCACAATCTTGCCTTACAGGCACACCGGAAAAAGAAACCAGGCTATTCTTGCACTTTTTTGATTTTTTGTTTTTTGTAGTAAGCAGATAAAATTAAATTCTGAAGCAACAGGAGGAGATTCTCAAAGGTAGAAAGAGCAGTTAAGCACCCAACTCCCATTGAAACTCAGTGGGAAATGGTGTCTAATTCCCATTCATACCTTTGAAAATCTCTTCTAGAGCTGTGGTTTTCAACCTCTGTTCATTTGCAGACCCCTAAAAAATTTCAAATGGCAGTGGGGACCTGTAACCGGGTCAGGACTCACCACTGCTGGCACCTCCTGTTGGTTGCTCCGGGAATTAGCGCCCTTTGCATGTGGTGTCTCGCCCGTTGTCTGCTCTGCTGATTTGGGAACCGCCTTGCTCCCCACTTGGCCATGTTCACTTCAGGACACTGCCCTCCGGCAGCGCCCACTTCTCCATTCTCACCCCCTTCTGGGGGAGGGGGCGGGGGAAACAGTCTTTCGACTTGCACCTGCCTCAGTGGCCAACAACACCCCCAAAGTCTAGCCCCTCACCTCAGGGCAAGTTGTAGTCTGTCTCGGCCACACTACTCTGTGGCCAGGTGCAGTGCAAGGAGGGAGCGGGGGGACCCAGGCCCACTCGCTACACAGGGTCCCAACCCAGGGACCCTCTAGCAACAGCCTCTCTGCCCTCCTTCTCTCCCCTCTTGTCTGACTATTTTCCCTGGGCCGCTTCCCCTTGGGCCCCTTGCACCTTCTCGGCCCTTCTAGTCAGGGGCCGCAGCCTGGCAGGTAATGGGCCAGAGTTCTCCTCTGCTCCCCCGAACCTGCACTGCTCTGTCCAAGGTGTTACCTCCTTGCCTCAGGAGCCAGTCCTCCTCCCTTGCTAGTCAGGGAGAGACTGCCCTCTCCTTTGCTAGGCAGCCTTTATATAGGGCCCTGATTGGCTGCCTCTTTTCTTTGCCCTGATTGGCTCTCCACAGGCCTTTGCTGATTGGCTGCTGGTCTGCACAGCCTCTCTGGCCTGTCCCAGCCCTTCTTCTCATGGAGTGGGGCAGCCGCCCCACTACAGGACCCTTTCGGAAATCTTGGACCAGAGGTTGAAAACCACTGTTCTATGGTAACGGCAACCTTTGGTGGACCCCTTAGACATAGTCTGCGGACCCCCTGGGTTCTGCACACCACAGGTTGAGAATCCCTGTTCTAGAGAACATACAATTGATTTCAACTATTGCTACCAATTAATACACAGAACAGCTTAAACTTGAGCTTCTACTGATATGCTGTACAAAATGCAGCTATACAGAACAGAACTGTTTTTCTTGTGTGTGGAAACTCTTAAAAGAGGAAGAATATTTTATGCCAAAAACTGAGTTGGCAATTTAAAATATAAAGAATGTTGATGTTTAGATTTTTCCCTTTGATGAACTGGGACAGGAATGATAAAACCAGGACTATAAGGTCAAGAAGAAAGGGGTATATAAACAAGGATGGAGAAAAGTCTTTGATAAACATAACTTAAGAACTAGATTTCTTCCCCTCCCCCCGCCAAATAGCTAATGGGAAAGAATAGGTTAGATTGAGAAATTCAGGTGCCTTTTTACACTTGTTTGTAAAAGAAGCAAAAAATTGTTTTCCCTTTAATACATGTTTCCTTACCCACTTCATTTGCTTTTCACAGATGGTTTCATCAAGGCAATAACCCATACACTGGAACTTCAGACTGGTTATATTCAGGCGGATACTTTGATAGAAATTTCTCAGACTGTCCAGATATATATTGAAATCTCTGAACCCATCACTCCATCTCATCTGGACATCTAGTTGTTAAATTTCAATCTATGCCAGTTATTCTGGTTTTGTTAATAGCAAAAAACAGCTTTTCTAAAGTAAATTTTAATGAAAATTGTATCATTCACCAATCAAGGATTTGTCACTAATTTTGATGGCCAAATATTTAAATGCTGTTACATTCTTTCCATAAAGCTTTCATCTGAAATCATCATGTTTTCACTAAGTTTTAAAAGGGACATCAGTTGTCTTTTTTTCTCTTTATCCAAAGGTATGCTGTAGCCAGTAGAGTTTACAGCACCCTTTTAATTATATAACAGAGAAAAAATAGCAGTGATATCCTTGTTACTTCACTTAGTGCAGCATTAAAGAATCTAACTATCCAGAACGTGGAACAATGGTAAATTAGTACGGTACAAACATGATCAAATCGGGCAGAGTCGGCATTCCCTGTAAAGAGATGTATGTGACGTTTTCAAATGGTAAGCAGAGCTGAAGAGATTGGAGCTCCGGGTCTATCTCAGTACAATTCAGTAATTCAAAGGCTTGGAAAAAACCCCCACAAAACACAGAATGTTAGGCTTACTGCAGTTTGCAAAACTGCTACTCTGAATTGTCTCTGTCTTTGGGCACTGTGAGCATTACTTAAACTATATACCTATGATAACAATTACATAAAACCTTGTGTGTTGGGGGATGGGAAGGGTGCATTAACAAACATCTGCTTTTCTAAAGTCAAATGTTACTCTTAATATACAGAAAGCTTCAGAGAGATTTGTAGAAACATAGAAGTTGTGGTTCCAGCGTAAGATAAAGATATTGGATATTGCTTGCCACTAGGAGGCTTGGGACTCCAGCACTACTTTAAGCAGCTTAAGCACTATTTATGCTTCTAGACTGACTTTTCTTTGGAAGCACTCAGTATATATCCACAGATGGTCTTATTTGTTTTTAGTTTTATTTTGTTTTTTGTGCATGTTCTGAAGCATTACTGGTAACATCTGGTTGTATGTTGTTTTAAAAAAAACAAAACACACAAAAAACAAAACCCCAATCCATTTAAAGCTAAGTGGCGTAACTAAAGTTATTTTAAAACTGGTATTAGGTATAATCTCTGTAACCACTTGCAGTCAGAAAATAGATTTATTTTTGTTGGCATAGAAATGTTGGAACGATTTGCACTACAAATCAGTTGACGGTATCTATAAATGTATGGAGTTAATTGTCAAAGTGGTACATTTCTGAGAATGGGAGGGGGCTTAAACAATTAGGTTTAGAAATTAAACCAATTTTAATAGTTGCTCATTCTTTTATGAAAGCTCTCAGTTTAGTAACCAATAGAAACTGGCTACGTTGCTGATAAGTTTACAGTCATTCAGAGATTGCTGATATTAAACACCAGCATTTCTTTGAGTATTCATGAAAGAATCAGTCTGATTTCCAAATGCATTTGAGGATGTGTACTTGTGACGTCATCCAAAGACTAGGTTTTGAAGTGCATTTACCAGATAGAAGAAAAATGAAAAATAAACAAAATCCAAGAGAAACATATTTCTTTTATGTGAAATTAGGCACCCAAAGATGGGAGATTTGATATTTGTTACATTTTGTTCATTTTTCCAGTGAAGAAGGTAAGCTGTGAAGGTTCAAGGCAATAAAGGCACAACTCTGAAATAAATTCATGTCACTGTATCCTGTCGTCAGCAATCAACTTTGTTGACCTTGAAGTCTCTTGGACATGCAGGCTAGTCTTGATGATATTGTTTAGATTGGTGTGCTAGAGAAGAAAATATTCACTCCTGATTTAAGTACATTGGCAATTCTGATTTTTATAAGGCATAACTAATGCATATGGACAACTTAAACTTCTTCCGATCAGCTTTTTTGTAAAATTAAACTTAAAAGATTAATATTTCACATACTTTAAGCCCCTTCAATTTTCTTGCAAGTAGATCTTAACATAAGGAGCACTGTACTCAGCTATCAGTGAAAACCGTGAAGGGATTCAAGTTTTAAGCCATTTTTGTAATGTTTCATGAATAAAACTTGTTTAAGCTAAATACTTAAGTTTGTTCATTGTTAACAATGCTGCTTTAATACACATGCATATAAATAGAAAGTCACCAGAATGAAAAAATGCTATAGTAATATGATTGATTTTTAAAAATCCTATTTATAAATAAGATGTACAGGTGGGAAATCTTTTAATTTTGAATCACAGCTTAAGTTCAGTAGGTCTAAAAATATTTCCATTATGCAAAAATCCGTTTTTTATTTGAAAAAGGCTATAGAGGCACACTTAATCCAAACTCCATTGTATCAGTCTTTATAGCATAAACTCCAGAAAAACGTCACCCATTACTATTGTCTACATTGCATAGATCTGTTACTTTGGCATTTTTCCTAATTTTAAATCAAAGTCCAACAACTTCTACTTTTTTTCCCCCCCATGGCATGTTAATTTTCCTAAAAATTCCAAGTGAATTCCATCTTTGTCTGTTTTGTTGGCTTATTAAGGCTGTATCCAAAGTATTTACAAAACATTTCCTCACTACTGATGGTTAGCGTTCATTTCACTAGCCATCTGATACCTAATGTTACATTTTGATTATTTGTGTCTCAGTGAAAAATATTAATGGCTCTTTAAATGACAAACTCACCTATGTAGTTTTACTTCTTAAAACACATAAACTAAACTTTGCACCTTTTTAAAAGAATATCACTTTTATAACTTGATTAAACACTGACTATATGTAAAATAACTGTATGTTTGTATGTGTTCATACATCTACATAGATTTTTTTTTTTTTTAAAGGAAACCACAATAGATGCTAAACACACTTCAGGCCTATACATGGTGTAAATGATGTTTGAAGTGTGACTTTCTCAATAGAGCAACTATTTTTGTGGGGAGGAAAAGTTTACACATTATCTTGGCTGATCATTTTCCTTTGTATCTACCTTGATACTTATTGGAGACATACGATTTGAATTAGAATTTTCATCCCTACAAACACAGCTTTTCTTCTGCTTGAACATGCAGTGGACTCAATTCTTTGACATCAGGCTGTTGCTAGTAAAAACATAGATGTCAAAAATGTAGGTATCACAAATATACCGAAAACTACTGTAGGAAGAAATGATCTGAAAAAGAACAAATTAGTTATTTAAACATTTTTTTTATTTATATATTTTTTTTAAACTCAAACAGGATTCCTTTCCCCAACCCCCTAAAAAAGGATGTGGGTCTGTCAGATATGTTTTGAATGTTGTTCCCCACAATGGAAGTCCTACCATTACATGTTTTAAAAAACCCAAACACTAAGCGGAGGGGACAGTATGGAACTCTTACTAAAAGATAAATTAATCTTTTGATAAAATGTTACATTCCAACACAAGTGAAACTCTAAGTTTATAGCCACTGCATAGCATCTAGGTTGGTCATTTTGAGGATACACCATACTGTAGATTTGTGACAACTGTTTGGGATATTGAACCCCTGTAATTTCTGGGGCCCAGATTATATAGAGAGGGGAATTATACTCCAAATTAAATAGAAAAACCACAGAAATTATTAGCAATGGTGTCCCATTTGAACACAGTTTAAAATTCTCAAATTAAAAGGTGAAGGCTGTGAGGTATATTTTCTTCTGCCTCAACACTTTGCAATCTTGGGGTGGGGAGGTTGTTTTGTTTTACTTTTCAAGGGTTTTTCCTAAATCCTAAAATGGTTATAAAAGACTTCAGATCACTAATTTTTACATACTAATAGTCTGTGATAAAATGGTTTGTATTTGTAACCATCTGTACAGTACATATGCCTGATGTATTTCCTCATAAATGTAGTCCTTATCGCTCATGTTCACTGTACTCAATGTATCTTAATGTTACAAATAAACATGTTTGTTTAGTGTGTGGACTAAACACTACATAATTTGATAATATACTGTAACTTTGCCTCTCTGAAAACACACCTGTAGTTTGGGTCAATTGTATAATAAAGCAATATTTAAATTTATGTAAATCTAAATGGTTCTATCATAGAAAATTCATTTTTGGTATGTTTTGTAGCATGAAAAAATTAAAACTTGCTTATACCCAGAATTCCAGTCCACTTTGATTATACTTTTATGAAGCTGCTTTTCTTTTGCCTTACTCAATTGCTGTATTCCTATTGATTAAATATTTACACACTGTGTGTTTGCCTTATCCATGTTGCATGAAAATATCAAATAATAAAAATGATTTAGTGAAATGGATTTATTTTTATAATATTTAATAACAGTCAGTACCCATCTATAACAATCAATCATATTTAGCTTTTCAGAGAAGTCTGTACAGATTTGTGGACATAAATGTTAAACTGTAAATCTGAATAAAGGTCATTTTGAAGAAGACATGCAATGTTTGGTATTAAATATTTTTTTAGGAGTCTGAAATGTTTTCCTGTCAGCAAAAAAAAAAATCTTGATTTAGTGCAAGCAATTGACTTGCAGTGTGACATTGTCTCAAGAATTATTGCCTAGTAAATTGCTTGTTTTCTTCTATAGTTTTATATGCTGAGGATATGCCTGAACTCTGTCTGGGGGCAAGACTGACTATGTCTCAGCCTAGGAGGTAGCAGAGAACTTCTCTGGGCAGGGAACTGCACTGTCCCACTGGAAGAGTTTCCAACTGCATCATCTTGGATTCAAGTCTGCATTCTTCTCTTGATTACAGCTGTTTGTATCACATAGCCACTTCACAAACCCATGCTACCTTGTATTGTTCACTGAGCTCTCAGCTGGGTTAAGTGGATTCTTTGACAGGAGAAATGGTAACTCTCACAAAGCTGAATCAAGAACAGATCACTGCAGGAGTCCACTAGAAACCCCTGTCTCCCTCCCCCAGTGCTGACTGCCTATTTACAATTACTTTAAGGTTGATCTGGTTTTAAAATCCACTTAATGTGCTACATTGATTTTTTTTATGCTAACTTTTAATCAAAATGACATGCCAGTGACTAATCAAATGTTTTACAAAAGTCTAATATGTCACAATTGCCTTTACAAAGCAAATGTATCCTCTCATAAAAAATAAAGTTTGATGAGACCTATGTTCAATAAAACAATGAAGAATGTCACTGATTATGCTGCTACCCTTTAAAAACTGTCCTGGATCAGCCTTTTTGTGGTTTTGTGCCTGGGATCTGTCAGGTTAACAAGTCTATAAGTAAGCAAGTAGTCCTGTTTACCCTTTTAAAAATATTGGCAGAATATTAGCAGTAATTACTATTGTTTAAATGTTTATCTGCAGGACTGATTAACATCCCCCAAACTACTTTGGAGTAGAAAGCATTTAATCACTATAAACTGCATGCAAACATCTAGCTTCTTTCCAAATACAGAACAGAAATATTTTACACTTCTGCCTTTTGTATATCATACTAGACAGGGACAGTAAAATTGTCAGTTAACAGATCTATACTATGCTGTTTTTCTTATTCCTGAACTAGTAAGAAAATTCCTTACTATCCTTGCAGCTATTGCCCATAGATTTCAATATCTTTAGCTTCCCTTATCAATTGGGAACAATGACTATAAGTTAGCAATCATGAAACTGCAATCACTTTCTCCCTTTCCACTTATTTTATTGCTGCTTTCATGTCTCTTAACCAGGACTAGTTTTTAAAAAAATGAATGACCCTGCTTTGTGATTTCATATTGTTACAGGTCCCCTACCTCCAGAACCAAAATATTCTTAAAACTCTCAATTTGTATTCATATTGTTTTGTTTAAATTCTCCTCTCAATCAGTTTGGCTCAATTGTTTTTAAACGGAGGGTCAGAATTTCATGAAGCCAAAGTACCTTTTTATGGAGAAATGCTCTGAAGGAGAGGATAAGCATTTAAATACTTTGGGAGCATGGGAAGATCCAGTGAAGGAAATGGAAAGGAGATCAATAGATGAGGTATTAAATAAAAACATCACCTCACCCACCTTGTGTCTCTAGGTATTTATATAGTACTTTAAAAAAAATGCTGATCAATAGTGATAGCTGGACCTCATGCTTCGTCTTGGTCAGAATGCTTAACTGCACTTAGCCTTGAGGTGGAGTAAAACAGGAATCAGATTGCTCACTCCCATTGGGTGAGATTCTTCACGCCCTTCCTCAGACT